CCGCCAAAAATGCTGCGCTCTGATTGGCTGGCGGGGAAGGGGAGGGGGAAGGGAAAAGGAGAGGGGGTAAAATTCGTCAAAAATGACCAGGATGAACCTCCATAAGAAAATACATGAGATTTTGGCTCTGAACGCCTATAGTATAACTATTCACGCCTATGATTGCAATTCTTACTACTCGTTGTCGGTACTCGCCTGAACGAACGCCAAAGCCATCTTTTCCGCTGGAAGGCGGATCATAAACGCTGCGCGGCGGAATCGACGTTAACCGTTCCCGCCAAGACAGTTGGGGAGCTGTATGAGCTGTGGTCAAAGCTCATAAAATTCTGAAACAACTCTACTAATTATTTCTCTAAATTTTCTAAATACTATTATTTAAATAGAATTAATAATATGCGCCTCAAGTAACTAAAGTTGAAGAATGATTTGTAATTTTAAGAATTTAGTTTCTGAATAATAGGCACATTTATTACTCAGGATTTGTTTTTAATATGTACAGTGAGCGGCAAAAGTATGGAATATATTTATTTAAAAATCAGATGTTCGTTATTTGAAAAATTGCTCGGACACGTCGAATTATATTTTTGGTTGCGCGTTTTCTGATGCAATTTTCATTTATACAGGGTGGCCCAAAAAAAAGTTATGAAATCAAGGCCAACTTTTTTAAATGGAAACCCCACTTTTTTGTATTTTTATTCAATTCTCCATGGAATTCTGATCATGTTTTCGAGATAATGGCGTCTGAATATAGAATATGGAAAATTTTCAATAATTACCCTGAGATTTACCCTGCTGGTTTTAAAATAAAACCATGTTTACTTTTACATCTTAGATTTGTGTGGTTCACAGAAAGTTTCTTCAAATCAGATTTTATTGTATAAAATATGATTTTGTTAAATGTCACTATTTAAATTACGAGCCAGGTTATTTTGCAAATTTTTAGCACCGTTTCATGTTTTTTTTTGTATACAAAAAACTCTCCAGCAAAACGCGCATTGTAGCCGTCGTCAAGCAACTAAATATTAAATAGGTAACGTCAAAGTCAGTTGAAACTGATGTACCTTGTTCACTACTACTATTTTTTATTATTTAGGACAGTGCAATTACTTAACTAGATGGCGCATCTAACAGAAACGCAGCGGACAGAAATTCTAATTTATTTGGGACACGGTGACAAAGCCAGAACACAACAAGAAGTGTGTGATATATTCAAGAACAAGTATCCAGATCATCCAATCAATCAAGTTGTGCTTAAATATTTGAAAAACACAAAATGTATTTAGCAGAAAGCACACCAGTTCCCACTGACTGACGTTACAGTACTTATCGAGAGTAATTTTTGAAAATTTTCCATATTCTATATTCAGACGCCATTATCTCGAAACCGGTTAAATATAGGTATAGGTTATGTTACATAAAAACTGCTCAGAATTCCATGGACAATTGAATAAAAATACAAAAAAGTGGGGTTTCCATTTAAAAAAGTTGGCCTTGATTTCATAACTTTTTTTTTGGGCCACCCTATATAAATGCGCAACTAAAAATATAATTCGACGGGTTCGAGCGATTTTTCAAATAATGAGCATCTAATTTTTAAATAAATACAGGATGTCCGGTAACTACGGGGAAAAAAAGGGTTCTATAAAGCAGGTCAAACGAGTGCTAGTACTTCATATAAACTTTTTACCTAAGTGCCATTGTTGAGGAGTTATTGTCACTCAAAGTAAGAAGTTGAAAAATGAATATTGCCCATAATTTCTAAAGGGTTGCTTTGATTAACTTGAAATTTGAGGGATCAAAGCAACTCATTCAAATGTATCTTTGTACATTTAAAATTGAACCAAATATTTTTTATTATACAAGGACGGTCGAAATTATGTTCTAAAATTTACGCAACTTTGACAGAGCTGTCAAATTTGACATTTCGCCCTCGCAGGCAGATAGCCCTGTTACTTTTCTACAAAAAAGGTATACTTACTTACTTCATGACTTATGAAAAAATGAACGGTTGTCAAGATAATTAAATTTTTGTATTTTGTGCCACATCCGGGGACACAACGCAACAGAAAAAAGTTAAGAATGAAACATATGAATTAAAAGAGGTTACTTCGGTAAATGCTCGATATGTCCTCCATCTAGTTCAATGCACTTCCTTATTCTTTTAAGATTATTTTGTTGCACTCTAAATAGCATTTGTGGATTCTGTTTAATTTCATTACAATGATGCCATCAACTCTTCTCTTGTATAAACCGGAGTTGAATAACACCAATTCTTTTAGGTAACCCCACAAGAAGAAGTCAAGGTGGTTAAGATCTGGCGACCTAGGTGTCCATAAGTGTGGTCCGCCTCGCCCAATCCACCTATCACCAAATGTTGCGTTGAGGTAATTTCTAACTTCACGACTGAAGTGGGGCGGTGCCCCATCATGCATGAAATATATCTACTGTCTTGTTTGCAATGACACATTTTCTAGTAGTAGATTTAGATCGTGTTGTAAAAAATTCAAATATCGGGCACCGTTTAATCTATCCTCTAAGAAAAAGGGGCCTATTAATTGGTTACCGATTATTCCTGCCCATACATTAACTATGAATCTTTGCTGGTGTTTGCCTTGAATGACTAAATGAGGGCGGACCACACTTATGGACACCTAGGTCACCAGATCTTAACCCCCTTGACTTCTTCTTTTGGGGTTACCTAAAAGAATTGGTGTATTCAACTCCGGTTTATACAAGAGAAGAGTTGATGGCAAGAATAGAAGATCATTGTAATGATATCCATATGTTTCATTCCTAACTTTTTTCTGTTGCGTTGTGTCCCCGGTTGTGGCTATACACAAAATACAAAAATTTAATTATCTTGACAACCGTTCATTTTTTCATGTCATGAAGTATACCTTTTTTGTAGAAAAGTAACGGGGCTATCTGCCTGCGACGGCGAAATGTCAAATTTGACTGCTCTGTCAAAGTTGCGTAAATTTTAGAACTTAATTTCGACCGTCCTTGTATAATAAAAAATATTTGATTCAATTTTAAATGAGCATGGATACATTTAAATGAGTTGCTTTGATCCCCCAAATTTCAAGTTAATCAATGTAACCCTTTAGAAATTATGGGCAATATTCATTTTTCAACTTTTTACTTTGAGTGACAATAACTCCTCAACAATGGCACCTAGGTAAAAAGTTTATATGAAGTACTAGCACTCGTTTGCTCTATATAACCCTTTATTTTTTCCCCGTAGTTACCGGACACCCTGTATATTCCATATTTTTGCCGCTCAGGTATATGGAACAAATGTATGTTAAAACATTTTGTAAAATCTTTAGCAACCTCTTGTGACCGATATTTTGGGAACTACTTCTTATTATATTCATTTTTAAATATTAGATTTAAAAAAAAGTAATAATATTTATTAATTTTACAATTGTTAAAGCAGAGAAGTGGAAAAGTGGGAGATTACATTTTTATAGTACCTATGTACTTCAACTTATTAACATACAATTAGAGCGATTTATATTTTATTTTACAAAGTAAGTTTGTTTTTAAATTAATTGAATCTTCGGAAAGTATTTTATCAGCCACTTGATTAAATTAATAAACATATTTTAAAAATATGATTGAATGATTCATGATAAATGAAATAAAAAATCTATTTGTTTCAGAATAAATCCCCAAATTTTAAGAAGTTTCACATTATAGCAGCACTTCCTACATCTATGCAAGCTTTCATGGTAGGTACTTTAATAAATAAAAGTAACATAAGTTATCAAGTAATCTTTAGTTTACTTGTAGTACTTTTGAAGCAGATATATTTGCGATGGATCCCGAAAGTAAATTTAATTTAAGGTTAAATAGAAAACTCTATAATCAATTGGTTGATCGAGGTTATCATTTTGAGTTACTTTATGGTCCAGCCATAGAAGATTCAACAAAGAGAAAAAATTTAATACATGTTTCTCATTTATATCACTCATTTGGAAAATCAAAGAACATCATATTTTCAAGTGGTGCTCAGAGCCATTTATATATTAGAAGCCCCTATGATATTATAAGTTTGTATCCTTTAAAAATTAAATACTTAGTCGGAGTTCCATAAAAAGCTAGAATAATTTTATAATGGTGATAGGTAGTTTAATATTGAAATCCTAGTTGAAAAGTGTTATATGGTGAGAGACAAGACTATTGGTTATTACACTGATTATAATAATAATTTTGAGTAAAACAGATTTTTTGGAAAAAAATAGTACAATTTTCATTACTTATTTTTATTTTGTTTAGACCGGGTGCCTATTTTTCAAGATATACACAAACGTATCTCTCACGTCAGCACACTTTTGTTGAAGAAGATCTCAATATTAAAAATTGCATATTCAATAACTATGCCACCTCCACAAATTTAAGTTACCTTTAGATTAAGAAGAAAAAAATTAAACCTATTTGCATTTAATTTTAAGAAAGAGGCAGGAATCGAATTAAAACATTTTGCAGCATTATAACTAAATCTTTGGCGAAAAAATAGTACTATGGTGCGGAATGGCTAATTTGTGACCACGACATAGGTACATTAAGATTATGAATATTAAATCTAGGAACTAGTTTATTTTTTTATTTATGAAAGAAATTAATGTAGGGGTTACTGTCCCTGAAATCTTGAAAACAGTTACACAAACATTTCCAAAATACTTATTCTCATAATGAATAGATACCTGAAAAATGGGAAAACAGGAGTTTTAAAATAGGTATTGCTGACCCTGAAATCTTGAAAAGAGTTGCACATATATTCACAAAATATGTATTTTCATAATAAATACATATAAACAGGAGCTTTCTAATTTTCTATTTTCTATGAAGATAATTTAATTTTGTAAAAAATTAAAAAACACCTGGTTATATCTATCGGATGGTTATGAAGAAGATATACAGGGATGGCCAGAAGTACGGAATAAAATTCATATCTTTTGAATGAGTTAATTTTTTTTTAAACGCTGAAACACAACTGATTTTGATTTTTTCCCATCTTTCGGTTATATAATAATTATTTTTTTTCAACCCCCTAACTCCCAGCTACCCCTACTTTTTTTTCAAATGGAAACATAAGGCATGAGGGGGCTCGTTGAAAAGCTTATAGAAAACTGAATCCGGCCATACCAAATAAACAAGTTTTATTTTTTCAATAGCAAGGTTTTTAGGATTGTATAAAACACCTACTTAACAAGTGAAATAAAATTTAATTATCTTCAGTGTTATCCTCCATGAATTTGCACAAAAGAATTTGAAACTGTACCTATCACTGCTAATGCAAAAAAAATATATATTTTTTATGTTTCATTTTTTTGGTACCACTTACTTGCCAGGCTTTCTGGTTAATTTTTCGCTGTAATTGTAAATTGGTGTTTGAAACGTTACTATTGTGTCAAAATCAAGTTATTTACTGAATTGCAATGGTATGTCGGAAAGGCAACGCATCGAAATCTTGATATTGCTTGGATGTGGAGACAAAATAAGAAGTCAGGCTGAAGTGCGCGATTTATTTAATGCGAAATATCCCGAAAACCAAATCTCGCAAGGGACAGTTAGTAAAATATTTCACAAATTTGAGGAACACGGTACAGTACAGACTTTGTCCAAAACTGGACGGGCACGTGCTTTGAATGAAGAAAAGAAATTAGACATTGCATTAGAACTTGTTGAAAATCCTCATACTTCAACTGTTTCATTGGCCCGCAATCACGATGCTTCTCGAACTGCAATTCGAATGTTTCTGAAACAAGAGAAATACCACCCCTATAAGGTATGTCTTGTCCAAGAGATTTTGGAAGACGATTATGATAGGCGATTACAATTTTGTGAAGAAATGATGAGACGGTGTGACGACAATAATGGTTTTCAACGAGACGTACTTTTTTCGAATGAAGCTACGTTTTATTTAAATGGAGTGGTTAACAGGCACAACTATCGCTTTTGGTCCCAGGAAAATCCACACTGGACATGCGAATCGCATACGCAGCATCCACAGAAAGTTAATGTATGGGCAGGTATCATCAACAACAGAATCTTGGGCCCATTCTTTTTTGAAGAAAATCTTACTGCCGCACGCTACCTGGATTTCCTAACATTTGACCTGATACCTGCTCTAGCTGTGATTTTCCCTCATGAAATTGATCCAGATATACCGAATGAAAAGAATTTGGTTCCAACAAGATGGCGCTCCCCCACATTTTGGTATTGATGTTCGAAGATACTTAGATGAAATGTTTTCAAATCGCTGGATTGGTAGACGGGGTACAGTTGAATGGCCGCCAAGATCCCTCGACTTAACACCCCTGGATTATTTTCTTTAGGGATATTTGAAAGAAAGAGTCTACCAGGACAGACCGAATAATATTGAGAATTTAAAGAACAAGATTAGGGCGGAGATGCATAATTTACCAGCTGAAGTCATTCAGAATGCTGTGGACAGCTTTTACTATCGTCTTGGAGAATGCCAAATAGTGAATGGAGAACATTTTCAGCATTTGCGACATTGAGTTGAAATTATCTAGTTGTTTCAATTTCTAAATAAAAAAAAAACTTGCTATTGAAAAAATAAAACTTTTTTATTTGGTATGACTGGATTCAGTATTCTATAAGCAACGAGTCCCCTCATGCCTTATGTTTCCATTTGAAAAAAAAAGTAGAAAAAAGTAGGGGTAGCTGGGGGTTAGGAGGTTGAAGAAAAAATAATTATTATATAACCGAAAGATGGGAAAAAATCAAAATCAGTTAACGTGTTTCGGCGTTGTAAAAAAAATTAACTCATTCAAAAGATATGAATTTTATTCCGTACTTCTAGCCATCCCTGTATATTATCATAATATGACTATGTTCTTTAATTATCACCGAAGGCCACTGGTCAGAAAATAATTTAATAAGAAAACATAATATTGAAACATATCCAAACATATATAAAATTTTTGTAAAGCATAGTTCGTAATTTTAGAGTAATTGGAAAATTAATCATGGTTATGTTAATATCACGTATGAAAAGAAGTTGCAACATCTCATAAATCAAGCCCTAAATTAAAACTTTACAATGATAGAAAAAAAATAAACGCATGGTCTAAAAAACCCACACATTTAAACCATAAGTAGGTATGTACAAAAAAATGAATTTATCGCAAACCTTTTTTTTATCTGTTTATGCTTCCATGTTTAATTAAAATTGCACAAAAAATGTACCTGCACAAGAAAGTGTATACAAAACTTTAAGGGAATGTCTTAGAAAACAATAGAGGTTGATAAGCCTTTTTTAAATTGTAAGTGACATTCTGTATCTTGAAAAAGAGGTGCCTAAATGAAAAATAACAAGGAAAGTTCCATTATTTTTCCCAAAAAATGTGTGACTAACGATTTGACCTACTTTTTTTGTATAAAAGGCTATCACAAATGCAATCAAATTTATTTTTTTTTTGTGAAGGCACATTTTTTAAAATTTTATCCTGGTTTCATAGTCATATTCAGTCGTTGCAAATTTCTTTCACACAAAATATTACCTACTTTACTTAAAAAAGTGTGGACTCTTATGGTATTTGTGAGGCATGTAAATAAGTAAATTATCACACCTAACCGACTATTTTTTTTTCTGTTTATTTGAGTATGTGAAAAAATTGTTGCACGAAAAAATCAATCTGGAGGTGTTTTTATGGAACTACTTTTGTATAATTAAAATATACAGGGTGTCCCTGAAAAGGATGGACAACGCTTGACCACAGGTTCCTTGGATGAAAATAAGACTATTTAGCCTAACTTACTTATATATTATACAAAAGTGCACGCCTACTGAGATATAGCCTTCTAAATATGGAATAGACAACCTAGTTTTTTTTCAAATAATTTGAAAACTATTTTTCTTAGAAACTTCAAATTTGATATACTTATTTTTTTATGTAAGGGCAAGGTAAATATAGAATTTGGTGAGAATACATATACAGGATGTTCTCTTTCTAGTGCCTGTGCGCCACTGGCTATCCCGTAACTTTTTTATGTGTGCGCCAATGACGACAGAATTTATATTTTTAAAAATAAGCATTTTAGATTTTTTTGCTATTACAAAATTTTGATATCATTTATGGATTTCGAGTAAAACTGGCACTTTTTATACATTAAATATAGGCAAAAATTCCGATTTGTAAAAAATAATTTATAACTGCAGCCTTAAAACGTTCACCTACTGTTATAATGTTGCCATTGCCAACAAACTGATATATTTTATTCTAAAATTATTCGAAGTAAGTTAAAAAAGTTATTTTTTACATTTATTATAACAATAAAAATAGGAAATTATAGTTTTTTTAAATTAATACTTTTGGAAAGCGGATTCAATAACTAAACTACTTATGATAAAAAAATATTAAGTAGATAATTCTGCATATGTCAATATTAAAAATAAACCGGACATTTTTCAAAAACATTAATTTCCTAAATATTTATTAATACTTATTCTTGCATTAAAAATTCAAAAATGTTGTTTCGTTTAAAATAACTTGTTATTCTTTAATTCTTTTAAGATAGCTGAAAGTCTAGAAATTGGACATAAATATATATATATCTTCTTTTTTTTCGTTTATTGGGTATTTTGATACCTGTGAACAAAATTAAAAAATTAATGAAATAAACCCCTGCACCAAAAGGATCTCTATTCTCTCTATTGAAATGTTAGTGCCTAATGAGGTGGTATATGATTATTTGAAAGTACTATTTTAAACAAATTTGTTATAAAAATATATAAAAAATAATATATTCGATACAAATAACAAATTAAAAAAAATATTCCAGCAGGAAAAAATGAAAAAATTTTAGGAATCATTTTATTAAAAATACTATATCACAAACCTCAGACAATTTACTCACCTTTCCATTGATATAACAAAAATAATAGTTTCCCATAAAATTAAAAAGATAACAAACATCTTGGAACTGCCCTCTCTCGTTAATTTATCACATTGTGCATTGTTCTTACTGTTATATTTTATTCAAAATTGCAATAATAGGATCATTTCCTTAGGTGAAATTCCATGCAAAATGTTACATAAAGTACTTATAAAATAAAGTCAATAAATAGCACGATTATTTTCATGATTTATTTAAATTTTTGCAAATAATGACATACCACATAGGACAGAGATAAGGTAACTTGTATGAGAGAGGTAGAATCGTGGTAAAATTAGTAATGTTGATGTTCCAATATCCAATATTTAAAGGCCAATATCTTAGTTGAAATAAGGATAAGTTGGTGCAAATTGTAAAATTAATCAATGCAAATTTAGTAAAACAATGATATTTCATTAAACATCATTGCCGCCAAAATATGATACTTAGTCAGTTATCCGTAAGTGGGGACTGCAGTAGAAAATTGAAATCTATTTTCTCTGGGAATATTCTTTTCATCAACATCTAACAAATATACTTCTTACACTTGAAAATCATTGACCATTTTAAATATGTAATTATTTCTACTTTACACAGTGGTGTAACATTTATTGTTATAAGATGAGTACAAAAAGTTTGCGTGTTGTATTTACAGATAAATCAAATCCATTTAAGCCCTCAGTGTAGGATGCGCAGTGGCGAAGTGGTGGAGTAGGGAGACTATACATATATACCTTTACTATGTTTGCTACCTGCATTACCATCTCATTTTACCAAATGTGTCCTCTTTTTGTTTTGCGTATTTCAGGGCTCAAATGAAGTTTGTCCAGTTCTACATGAAGATGTGTGTGATGGTGGAGGTTTGCATTAATATTGTTTATGTCAAATTAAAAAAAATTGCGTTTCAATTAAAATGTTTTCAGAGAGGTATAACGAAAATGTAGTTTTTTCAAGTGTGTGTGGATTCATGATATAAAAAAGTTTTCCTTAACCTTCTTAGGGGTTTAATATTTGGATTAAATGAACTTCAGTGTAAAAATGCTTTAACCCACTATCCCAAAAACACAATCATTAATTCAGGTAGATATTGTCTATAAGATTATACAGTGAAAAAATATATATTTATTTTTTTTTAATAGTTGGACGTAAACATGGAAAATCTATCATGTTTATTGAAAATATAGAAAAGGAAAGTGAACAAAGTGTTATTATATTAGAAGAGAGTGAGGGTGAAGATATGGGATTAAATCAACCAGCTCAAAAAAGATCAAAAGTGTAATATACACATTGTATTTTTTTAAAATAAAGATTAATAAAGTTTTTATGGAAATTTTGCCTTAAATTTTATTTATCAAACAGAAGGTATGTTGCTTGGACGGGAAAATATAAAGTAGGTACATATTTTGTGAACATGTAAATACTTCTTTATAGTGTTATTAAATATATTTTATCAGCATTTTATGTGACTAAAAACGAAATAAAGCACATGGTGTTTTTTAAATATGTCATGATTTTAGGATGTTGTTCTTTGGATCACTTTGGGCCAACATGGCTTATCAAGGGTTCTAAAGCTATTGCTTTTTAAGACAGTGTTGATATTAAAAAAATAATATTTATTTAATGTCTCTAAAGATGTTTGATGTGTTGATAAACTTGTTCTGAGTGCTTGACAACAACGAATATTTTGAAAATTGGATAAGTAATTTTAACTAATGATAGTAAAAATTATATTTTTCATTTTAATTGAAAAAAAATCTATTTTTATCAACTAAAAAATGTTTCCAATTTAACAAATATTTCTTATATTTATCAGTTTTACTTCTTATTTGTCTTTTTTATATACAGGGTGTTTGTAAATAAGTGCGAAACATTTTAGGGCGTGGTTGTCGCAATTATTTTGTGAAAAAAAGTTCATACGTATAAACGTGTAACGTACTTTACTCGGTCGCCAAATTTTTGTAACACCCTTTATATACTTTACTTTATTCTGGTTTTGATTTTGCGGTGGGGACGGTTCGGATCAGACGTTACTTGTGGCTGCCCCCGGTATACTACCAACTCTAAACGGAATCTTAATTCACAATTGCGAATCCTAATTTACTAGATTTATTGACGTCACTGACGTCCCTATTTGGACGCCTAATTTTATGACGACCNGTTGTGGCCAGGTTGACCACATCTCCAGCAAATAGTTCTCCGGTTGTAACTGCCAGGTGACGGTGTCGATTGTGCAGGTCGGGTCTCAGGTGGCGATAGGGCTGGTACAGCAGGCCTTCCTGGGGTAGGTTCTGGCCTGGTCCTATTTTCTACGGAAGTTCGGGGCCTAAACGGTGGTCGTGAGTTTACTGGTTCCCGGTTTCCTGGAGGCGGTACCTCTTTTCGGTCTGAGCTATAGCCCGGTAATGTGCTTCGGTATTTGAGCTCTTTACTCAATGTCTCAAATTCATCTATTCGGACTGTCAGATCACTAGTACTCGTGATGTCGCTTTGACGTATATACTGACGGTATTCTGGCAGTAAATTCGCATATAAGCGACGCAACATCTTTTCCGGTGAAAATCCTCCGTGGCGGCGGATTAATGTTTGTAACGCCACAATATAATCTCTCCCGGTTTCGCTAGCGTTCTGCTTGCGTTTTTGGATTTGCTCTTCCAGAAAGTCGTGGTAGTTTGTCGGTAAATAAAATAATTTTTAAATCTGCCAAAAATTCTCCCCATGTAGTCCAGGAATCTCGGTTATTGCGGTACCATGCCAGGGCATTGCCTTGAAATACTTCGAACAGGGCTGGTAATAATTCGGTAGTGGAGATTTCGCTTTTCTCCTGCAGTTCATACAATTTTTCCAGGAATTCGGTAGCGTTGGTTTTTCCATTGAACTGCAACTTCCAAGTACGGACTTTATCACATATATCCCCAATACTGTGGTTCTTTTTGACGGCTCTCCTCGTGGATTCCATGTTTGGCTGGAGACGAGGCGGTTCGGTATCAGGTCCAGAGGATGAAGATGGTTGTCGTAGATTTTTCCCGGATTTGGGATAACCCTCTCGGAAAAAGGTTACTAATCTCTTTCTTAGTATCGGTAGTGTTCCCTTGGTGGTCAAAGAGAATTTTCCTAGCTCTCGGACAAGCTCATCTTTCTTAAGCGTATAAATCCAGCTCACTTTTGCTGGCGGTTGTTCATCCTCACTGGAAGTTCCGGATTGTTCAGGTCTCTCTGGGTGCGGTATGTTATTACGGCCGGTATCGGATGGCATTCTAATAGCTTACTACAATCCAGCCAGACGTTTCAACAAAATAAAGTCGGTATCGGTAAATAGGGATAACCTATCTCGGAAACGGTAGCTCGGATTGCAATAAAACTATTAAAAATCGGATGTACACCCTCGATTTACTTAAAAATGAGGGGTCGCTTACTCTATTCCACTCAAATCGTGACTCCGGGAAACTCCGGGTGAAAATCCGGGTAAAATGTCAAAGTCGGTGTCGGTGCTCTATTTGCACGCCTGGTACTAATTAATAGTCAAACTTTTCTTAAATCGTGTTTTCCAACGATTTATCGGTTATATCCTGGAAGTGACTGGTCGTATCGATTCGGAACTTGTTGGAATCGGTTCGTCACCCTTGAAAATGATGAAAATTACACTTTCCACGCCTCTCCGGTGGCTAGGAAGGCTTCGGGTGAACTCGGCAAAAATCGGTAATTTTCGGATATCGGTAGTAAATCCTTTTACGAGACTTAGTCTTGAATATTAGACTTCTGGCTTGATTAGTTTCGGAAAAATTAGCTGTTAACTTTTCCGGGAAAAGTCGGATTGGTTCGGATTTAATTAGATTCGGATTTTTGCCTTTAACTCTATACGGACAAATCAATTTTACAACCTTAGTGCATTCAGAACAGGCTTAGACAAAATCTGGTAACATTGACTATGTTCGGTATTTGACTCTACTTGATATTAAAAGTATCAAATTCAAATCGGTCTTGTTCTAACTTTAATATTTACGGAGAAAATTGCTCTAACCGGATTCAACGGAGTTCAAATATATTTACTTTTGTTTTTCCAAAAAAAAATTTCAGGCCTTTCAACAGTCAAACAAATTCTCTAAATTAAATTTAGACGGAAAACACTGATTTTGATTAAAAAGCAAACGACTGCTTTTATTTATACTTGCACAGAAATAAGCAGCGGTTCCTGAACGGTATTTAATTAAAAGAAAAAATAACACTTTCTATACGGTATTTACATAAAAGAATACAACGGTATCTAAAAGGAAATAACGGTCTAAAAGAAAATAACGGTCCCTGCTCGGGTCCAAATTCTTGTAACGTACTTTACTCGGTCGCCAAATTTTTGTAACACACTTTATATACTTTTCTTTATTTTGGTTTTGATTTTGCGGTGGTGACGGTTCGGTTCAGACGTTACTTGTGGCTGCCCCCGGTATACTACCAACTCTAAACGGAATCTTAATTCATAATTGCAAATTTTAATTTACTAGATTTATTGACGTCACTGACGTCCCTATTTGGACGCCTAATTTTATGACGACCCTTGACTACTAGTTTATCGGCAGCGGTGGTTGGCAGCCGGCGGTGGTGAGTGACGTCACAGGAACGTACTCCGGTTTAAATCTTTTTTTTCGGTTTTGTCTCGGGCGCCAGTTTCCCAATCGGTTACGTGGGGGAAACTCCACGTGAAACCTACCCTCGGTTTAGAGTAAGTACTCGGGATAGCTGCAGTGAAGAAAGTTTAATTCCAGGGGTCTGTTATATTTCTCTTAATTTCAAGCAAAGTAGTTCTCTGAGTGTAGTGTTATTTTCCTTTCAAAATAAACGGTCTTATCAGTGTAGGTCACAAAAAGATAAGCGGACCTCTTTTTTACTGATCGGAATTTTATCAACTTTGTCGGCGTTAAGAATGAATACAAACGGGAATTATATTTACTAGGTTTATTTTATATTAACAAGGCCTATTGAAACAAACAAACAAAAGTAAAATAGATTCTAATTATAATTAATAAATAACTAACTAAAATTCAGGAATGTAAAAATACTTTACAAGCGGTGTAAGAATAACAAAAATGAAATAAAATGGGTTAGAAATAAAATGGGTTAGAGCAATTATTTGCGACGGGTTTAAAAATGCCGATACGGTTTTCGGAGCTGTAAATAAATACAAATTAGTCAAATATCAGGACACAAAATCGGTACGGTAGAAAACGGAGTCTTTGGCGTTTGGTTTATTTAATAAACAATCTAAGACTTTACGAAACGGTACGCCAGAATAATATTCGGTTTTAAATTTCGGTCGGTGCTAGAAAGGGAAAAATAAGATTAATAAATTAGAGCAATAAATAAATTGTTCCCAATGGTTCTGAAACAGAAAAATAATTACGGGTGACTCTAATTCTACAAATAAATATCGGCGGCAGTTTCTAGCAAAGCGACGGAAATTAAGCGGAAATGCGACCAGCCAGGAGAAAAAGCCAAGCAAAGCGGTTTACATCAGGCACAAATAAGCAAACGGTAATCAGGAAAATGATGTTGGTGGTAAACAGGAGGCAAAGTCTGGACGAGGTGCGAGTTCAAATGCGGGGTGGCCGACAGTTTTCTCCCAAAAGCGGTGGGGCACCCAGCTAAACTTCTAAAGTCTATCCGTCGCTGCACAGCTGACACGCAACGTCTTCTACTGGCGGTGAGACACCCAGCCAAACCAGCGGTTTCGGTTATTGTGCCTTACAACGTTTATCAAGCGGGGGCGGTGAGACACCCAGCCAAACCCTCGCTGACAACGCCGTTGCCGTACAGTCTGACACCTTCACGTCTTCTACTGGCGGTGAGACACCCAGCCAAACCAGCAGTTTCAGTAAAGGGGCGCACAGCGTTTGTCGAACGGGGGCGGTGAGACACCCAGCCAAACCCTCGCCGATAACGCTGCTGCCGTACGAACCTGCACTCAACGTCTTCCGCTGGCGGTGAGACACCCAGCCAAACCAGCAGTTCGGTTGACGTGACGGACAACGTACGTCGAACGAAGGCGGTGAGACACCCAGCCAAACCTTCGCAGATAACGCTGTGGTCGTACTGTCTTGCCAAAGTTCAAAACGGCCAGACTTATACCATAGCAGGACAAGTGAAAATAGGAAAATACAATTTGCTTACTTATTCCGGACGGTTGCTTCTGGCGGCTAACTCCTTGGGTCGGGTGGCGGTCTCTGGTCGGTGTTCAGGTCCTCGGGGTGGTCCTCAGGTTGGCGTTGGAGTTCTTCGAGTTCTGGCAGCGAACTGAGAATTTTCGTCCAGGAACGGTAGTTTTATTGCCTCAATCCCCCG